AAATTGGGGAAAAACAGGGAAAATTGGGGAGAAAAACATGGAAAATTGGGGAAAAACAGGGAAAATTGGGGAGAAAAACATGGAAAATTGGGGAATTCCTCGATAATGGGAATTGCTGGCCTGGGATAATGGGAATTTCTGGGATAACGGGAACGATCCCGGACCGGGATAACGGGAACGATCCCGGACCGGGATAACGGGAACGATCCCAAACTGGGATAACGGGAATTTCTGGGATAACGGGAATTTCTGGGATAATGGGAATGATCCCATCCCACACCGTCAATTCCAGGCTCAACATCCCCACTTTTCCTGGATCCAAATCTGGTTTTTTTGGGATCCAAATCCCTGATTTTCCTGGATCCAAATCCCTGATTTTCCTGGATCCAAAACTGGTTTTTTGGGATCCAAATCCCTGATTTTCCTGGATCCAAATCCCTGATTTTCCTGGATCCAAATCTGTTTTTTTGGGATCCAAATCCCTGATTTTCCTGGATCCAAATCCCTGATTTTCCTGGATCCAAATCCATGATTTTCCTGGATCCAAGCCCCCTCTTTTGGGATGCCGAGTTCCTCTTCTTGGCAGAGTCCGTCTTCCCAGGATCCAAAATCCCGGTTTTTGGGATCCAAAATCCCGGTTTTTGGGATCCAAAAGCCCGTTTTTTTGGGATCCTCCGTCCCTCTTCTTGGGCTCCAAATCCCGTTTTCCCCGAGGATCCAAAGTCCTTTTTCTGGGATGCAAATCCCATTTTTTGGGATCCAAAATCCCATTTTTCCCTGGACTCCAGGTCCGTCTTCCCAGGATCCAAAATCCTTTTTCCTTGGACTCCGAAGTCCCTTTTTTTTGGGATCCAAGTCCCGTTTTTTGGGATGCAAATCCCATTTTTCCCAGGATCCAACATACCTCCTTTTCCCGGGATCCAGCGTCCTTTTTTTGGGATCCACCATCTCTCTTCTCGGGATCCAAAATCTTTTTCTGGGATTGAAATCCCAATTTTTGGGATCCAAATCCCGTTTTTCCTGGGATCCAAATCCCGTTTTTCCTGGGATCCAAACTTCTTGTTTTGGGATCCAAATCCCTTCTTTTCCCAGGACTCCAGGTCCCTTTTTCCTGGGATCCAAATCCCATTTTTTGGGATCCAAAATCCCATTTTTCCCTGGACTCCAGGTCCGTCTTCCCAGGATCCAAAATCCTTCTTCCTTGGACTCCAAAGTCCCTTTTTTTTGGGATCCAAATCCCGTTTTTTGGGATCCAAATCCCATTTTTTCCCCAGGATCCCAAGTCCTTTTTTTGGGATCCAAATCCCATTTTCCCCAGGATGCAAAGTCCCATTTTTGGGATGCAAATCCCGTTTTTTGGGATGCAAATCCCGTTTTTTGGGATGCAAATCCCGTTTTTCCCAGGTTCCAACATACCTCCTTTTCCCGGGATCCAGCGTCCGTTTTTTGGGATCCAAAATCCTTTTTTGGGATCCAGCATCTCTCTTCTCGGGATCCAAAGTCTCTCTTCTCGGGATCCAAATCCCATTTTTTGGGATCCAAATCCCATTTTTTGGGATCCAAATCCCGTTTTTCCTGGGATCCAAACTTCTTGTTTTGGGATCCAAATCCCTTCTTTTCCCGGGACTCCAGGTCCCTTTTTCTGGGATCCAAATCCCATTTTTTGGGATCCAAATCCCATTTTTTGGGATCCAAATCCCGTTTTTCCCTGGACCCGAGGTCCATCTTCCCAGGATCCAAAATATTTTTGGGATCCGAATCCCATTTTTTCCCCAGGATCCAAAGTCCTTTTTTTGGGATCCAAATCCCATTTTCCCCCGGACTCAACGTCCTTTTTCGGGATCCAGGCTCGCTCTTCCTGGGATCCAAATCCCTTTTTCCAGGATCCAAAATCCTTTGTCCTTGGACTCCAAAGTCATTTTTTTTGGGATCAAAATCCCATTTTTCCCCAGGACCCAAAGTCATTTTTTTTGGGATCTAAATCCCATTTTTCCCTGGACCCAAATCCCATTTTTTGGGATGCAAATCCCATTTTCCCCAGGACTCCAGGTCCGTCTTCCCAGGATCCAAAATCCTTTTTCCTTGGACTCGTTCCCGGGATCCGGCGTCCCTTTTCCCAGGATTTCGGGTCACTTTTCCTGGGATCCAAATCCCATTTTTTGGGATCCAAAGTCCCTCTTCTTGGGATCCAAATCCCATTTTTTGGGATCCAAATCCCGTTTTTCCCAGGACTCCAGGTCTGTTTTCCTGGGATGCAAAATCCCATTTTTCCCCAGGATCCAAAGTCCTTTTTTTGGGATCCAAATCCCATTTTTCCCCAGGATCCAAAGTCCTTTCTTTGGGATGTAAATCCCATTTTTCCCTGGACATGAGGTCCATCTTCCCAGGATGCAAATCCGATTTTTGGGATGCCAAATCCCATTTTTCCCAGGATCCAAAGTCCTTTTTTTGGGATCCAAATCCCATTTTTCCCAGGACCCAAAGTCCCTTTTTTTGGGATCCAAATCCCATTTTTTGGGATCCAAAGTCCCTTTTTTTGGGATCCAAATCCCATTTTTCCCAGGACTCAACGTCCTTCTCTTCCTGCAATCCGTGTCCCTTTTCCTGGAATTTTCCCAGGATCCAAATTCCGTTTATAATTAGGATCCAAAATCCCTTTTTTTTTTGGGATCCAAAATCCCTTTTTTTTTTTGGGATCCAAAATCCCTTTTTTCCCTGGGACTCCAGGTCCCTCTTCCTTTTTCCTGGGATCTAAATCCCATTTTTTGGGATCCAAAATCCCATTTTTCCCTGGACCTGAGGTCCATCTTCCCGGGATGCAAATTTTCATTTTTCGGGATGCAAATCCCATTTTTCGGGATCCAAACTCCCTCCTTTTCCCAGGACTCCAGGTCCGTCTTCCCCGGATCCAAAGTTCATCTTTGGGGATCCAAATTCCCGTTTTTTGGGATCCAAATTCCCATTTTTTGGGATCTGAGTTCCCGTTTTTTGGGATGTGAGTCCCCATTTTTTGGGATCCAAATTCCCGTTTTTCAGGATCCAAATTCCTGATTTTTGGGATCCAAATTCCCGTTTTTCAGGATCCAAAGTCCCATTTTTTCGGGATTCAAATTCCCGTTTCTCGGGATACAATTCCCGTTTTTCCCAGGACCCAGCAGGCAGAGGCAGCGTTTTTCCCACTTTTTTCCCTTTTTTTTCCCATCTTTTCCCGTTTTTCCAACTTTTCCCCAAATTTCCGGGACCGGGGAGGGAATTTTGGGATCTTGGAGCTTCTCCCGCCGGAATTCCCGGGAATCCTCCGGAGGCGCCTCCGTTCCTTCTCGTCCGCCCCGGCCGCGGATCCTGCCCGGAAAATTCCGGAAAATCCCGGAATTCCCGGCCCAGCCCCAAATTCCGGCGCTCCCAAGGGGAAAAAATTGGGATTTTGGGGGATTTTGGGGAGGTTTGGATTCCTGGGATTGGGATTTGGGCTGGGAATTCCCATTGGGATGGGGCTGGAGCTGCCCCGAAATTCCAAAAAATCTCAAATTCCCAAAATTCCAAAGAATTCCTGAACGGCAGCCGCGGCTCCAGGGGGGATTTGGGGGGAAATTCCAGGATTTGAGGGATTTTTGCTTCAATGCTGAGGAGATGAAGGGGAAAATTGGGAAAAAATTCCCAAAAAAAACCCCCGGGAATGCAAAAAACCACAGGAAAAGGTAAAATTAAAAAAAGCCAGAGATTGGATACAAAAATCCAGGATTTTTTGAGATACGAAAGAGGAGGAAAAATCAGGGAAAAATTCCCAAAAATTCTAAAAAATGAGGAAAAAATCCCAAGATTGGAAGAGAAAACCAGAAAAAAATGGGAAAAATGGGGATTTTGGGGGAATTTTTTTGGAATTTGGGGGATTTTTTGGGATGGAGCTCCGGGATTTCTGGGAATGGCTCCGGGGGAAAAATTTGGGTAAAATTCCCAAAAAACTCCCGGGAATGCCAAAGGAAATAAAAACTTTGAGAATTAAAGGGGAAAAAAAAA